CCGAAAAACGTAACCGAAACAACTTAAACGTAACCAGTAACCGTATTTCCGTAATCCGAAACCTGTAATCGATAACCCGTTACACCGTTACCCGTAATCGAGAAACGCAACCCAACAAATGTAACCGTCAAACCGTAACCCGTAATCGATAACCCGTAATCGATAACCCGTAACCTGAAAACCGTCGCCGAGAAATCGTAACCCGTAACCCATATACCGAAATCCCTAACCCGCACCCGTAACCCCAAAACCGTAACCAGTACAACGTAAACCGTAAATGGCAAACCGTGAACCGTAACCCTTATCCCGTAACCCGTAATCGATAACGCGTAATCCGAAAACTGTAACCTTCAAAACGAAACCCGTAATCGATAACAGTAACCCGAAAATCGCAACCGAAATAACTTTAACCGTAACCCGTAACCGTATTACTGTAATCCGCAATCGAAAACACGTTACACCGTTACCCGTAATCTAGAAACGCAACCCGACAAATGTAACCGTCAAACCGTAACCCGTAATCGATAACCCGTAATCGATAACCCGTAATCTGAAAACCGTCGCCATGAAATCGTAAACCGTAACCCATATACCAAAATTCCTAAACCGAATCCGTAACCCCAAAACCGTAACCAGTACAACATAAACCGTAAGGGGCAAAACAAATACCGTAACCCTTACACCATAACTCGTACCCGCAACCCAAAAACCTTAACCGAAACAACTTAAACGTAACCCCTAACCGTATTACCGTAATCCGTAACCCGTAATCGATAACCCGTTGCACCATAACCCGTAATCGAGAAACGTAACCCGACAAATGTAACCGTCAAACCGTAACCCGTAATCGATAACCCGTAACCTGAAAACTGTCGCCATGAAATCGTAACCCGTAACCCTTATACCAAAATTCCTAACCCGAACCCGTAACCCAGAAACCGTAACCAGTACAACGTAAACCGTAAATGGCAAACCGTGAACCGTAACCCTTATACCGTAACCCGTAATCGTGAAAGCGTAATCCGAAAACTGTAACCGTCGAAACGCAACCCGTAATCGATAACCCGAAAACCGTCGCCGTGAAATCGTAACCCGTAACCCATATACCAAAATTCCTAACCCGAACCCGTAACCCCAAAACCGTAACCAGTACATTATAAACCGTAAGTGGCAAACCGAAAACCGAAACCCTTACACCGTAACCCGTACCCGCAACCCGAAAAACGTAACCAAAACAACTTAAACGTAACCCGTAACCGTATTTCCGTAATCCGTAACCCGTAATCGATAACCCGTTAAATCGTTACCCTTAATCGAGAAACGCAACCCGACAAATGTAACCCGTAATCGATAACCCGTAATCGATAACCCGTAACCTGAAAACCGTCGCCGAGAAATCGTAACCCGTAACCCATATACCGAAATTCCTAACCCGCACCCGTAACCCAAAAACCGTAACCAGTACAACGTAATCCGTAAATGGCAAACCGTAAACGGTAACCCTTACACCGTAACCCGTATCCGCAACCCGAAAAACGTAACCGAAACAACTTTAACCGTAACCCGTAACCGAATTACCGTAATCCGTAACCCGTAATCGATAACCCGTTACACCGTAACCCGTAAACGATAATGCCTAAACCGAAAACTGTAACCTTCGAAACGAAACCCGTAATCGAAAACCGTAACCGAAATAACTTTAACCGTAACCCGTAACCGTATTACTATAATCCGTAATCGATAAAGGGTTACACCGTAACCCGTAATCGATAAAGCGTAAACCGAAAATGTAACCGTCAAACCGTAACCCGTAATCGATAACCCGTAACCTGAAAACCGTCGCCATGAAATCGTAACCCGTAACCCATATACCGATATTCCTAACCCGAACCCGTAACCCCAAAACCGTAACCAGTGCAACGTAAACCGTAAGTGGCAAACCGAAAACCGAAACCCTTACACCATAACTCGTACCCGCAACCCGAAAACCGTAACCGAAACAACTTAAACGTTACCCGTACCCGCAACCCGAAAACCGTAACCGAAACAACTTCAACCGTAACCCTTAACCGAATTACCATAATCCGTAACCCGTAATTGATAACCCGTTACACCGTAACCCGTAAACAATAATGCCTAAAGCGAAAACTGTAACCGTCGAAACGTAACCCGTAATCGATAACCGTAACCCGAAAACCGTAACCAAAATAACTTTAACCGTAACCCGTAACCGTATTTCCGTAATCCGTAACCCGTAATCGATAACTCGTTACACCGTAACCCGTAATCGAGAAACGTAACCCGACAAATGTAACCGTCAAACCGTAACCCGTATTCGATAACCCGTAATCGATAACCCGTAAGCTGAAATCCGTCACCATGAAATCGTAACCCGTAACCCATATAATGAAACTCCTAACCCAAACCCGTAACCCCAAAACCGTAACCAGTACATTATAAACCGTAAGTGGCAAACCAAAAAACCGAAACCCTTACACCGTAACCCGTACCCGAAAAACGTAACCGAAACAACTTAAACATAACCCGTAACCATATTTCCGTAATCGGTAACCCGTAATCGATAACCCGTTTCACCGTTACCCTTAATCGAGAAACGCAACCCGACAAATCTAACCGTCAAACCGTAACCCGTAATCAATAACCCGTAAGCCGAAAACTGTAACCGTCAAACCGTAGCCCGTAACTCATATACCTTAATTCGTAGCCCGTACCATTAACCAAAAAACCGTTACCCGTACGACGTATCCCGTAACCCGTAATCGATCTCGAATACCGTAACCTTCAAACTGTAACCCATATACAGTAATTCGTAACCCGTACCCGTACTCGGCAAGCTGTAACCAGTAATCGATAACCAGGAACCGTAAAATCGTAGCCGTGAAATCGTTACCCATAACCTATGTACCGTAATTCATAACCCGTTACCCCAAAACCATAACCAGTACAACGTAAACCGTAAAAGGCAAACCGTAAACCATAACCCTTACACCGTAATTCATTCCCGCAACTCAAAAACCATAACCGAAACAACGTAAACCGTGAAACATAATCAAACCAACTTAATTCGTAAAATGTAACCCTTACATCGTAACCCGTAACCAGTAATCGACAACTGGTAACCCAAAATCTGTAATCGTCAAACTGTAATCCATATACCTTAATTCGTAAACCGTACCCGTAAACCGAAAACCGTAACCTGTACAACGTAAACCGTAACCGTTAATAACCCGTAATCCGCAATCGATAACCGGTAACCGAATATCCGTAAACCCGTTACTCGAAAACCCGTCACGCGACTGCCATCAGGTGCTAGAGCCTTGTCGTGGCTTGGCAGCTTGTGTATCTCGATGACCCCAAGAGCTATACCAGCGGGAGTGTAAACTCCTGGTAGGTTCAACCAAGCTGGGAAGATCTTCGTGGGTAGGGATCAGACCAAAGCTAGCACACTGGTCCTCCAGGTTGGGGGTTGAAATATAAGGCCAGCAACCTTATCTCGTAAAAAAATAACTGCTATAAAAACTGCAAGTACACAAATCCTAAACTTAAACTGAAAACAGTACAACATAACCCGTAACCTGTTAAACTTAAAACATAAAACCAAAACCAAAAAACCATAAACATTAAACCTCAAATGTTATACTTTAAACCCATAACCTGCAACCCGTAAAATGTAAAATCTTAAAACCTAATATGTATCCCGTATACTGCAAAAACTGTAACCCTATTTCCGTAACTTGCAACTCGTTATGCGTAACATAAAATATTAAACCTATGACGTTGAAACTAAAACCTTAAATCTAAAACCTTAAACTTAGAGCATAACCTGTAAACTGCAAAAACTGTAGCCCATAACCTGCAACAGTAATCCATAACCCGTAACCTGCAACTCATTACTATTAACCTAAAATATTAAACCTAAAATGTTAAACCCAAAAAGTTAAAACAAAAACCAAAAACCTGAAATCTAAAAACCTAAAATTGAACCGTAAAGCGTAACCGGTAAACTGCAAAACACCATAATCCATAACCTGCAAATCGTAACCCGTAACCTAAAACATTTAACCTAAAATATTAAACCAAAAACATTAACCCGAAAAACGAAAACCTGGTAAACCAAAAAAATTATAACCCTTAACCTGAAACTCATAACCAGTAACCTGCAACTCGTTACCCCTAACCTGCAACTCGTTACCCCTAACCTGCAACTCATTACCCCTAACCTTCAACTCGTTACCCATAACCTAAATCGTTAAACCGAAAATGTATTACAGGCCCCTCAGTGGCCCATGTGAGCCTTTGGGAACCGAAACTGAAATTTTTTTTTTGCAGCCAAATTGCACGCCTGATTCAATTTAGGGAGCGACTGTAGCGCCCCATCTTATCCATTGTCTATCACACTGTTTAGAATGAACGTAGTCACCATAGAGCTCACGGGAAAGACCAGAGCGTCAAACCGTATCCTGGGTATATCTTCTGCCATTCTCAGTCATTTGTCATGTAGTTATTCTCTCTATTCATTTTGGTTTTTTTTGTTTAAATTGGAAACATAAGAGAGGCGAATAATTGAAGTTACCCTTTTGAGTAGCTATAAAAATTAACAATTATATGTTACTTGTTGACTGTGTCCACTTTTGGAATGATGCATGAATGGTAACATACACCCGCAGCTATTGATTGCAATTGTTACAAGGCTGGGATAGGAATTATATAAACAAGTTAGAGCAGACTCACACTTTTGCAAAAAGTATTTATATTTGTTCATTCTATTGTTACACTTTTAATTTAAAGTTTTAATATTTGTCATCTTCAATAATAAATGTTCACATTTATCATGGTAATAAAAGTATTTCATAAACTTTTGTGTTTTGTTTTCTTTTAAAATACTAAACCCATGTTATAGTATGTATCAAAGCTGACAATTCAACAGTCTGGATTAACAAATGATTATTGAAACAATGTCTGAAAACAAAAAATTTGAGTAGTTTGGATAAAAAATGAACTTTATTCCACAAAATCCTGACTACAGGAAACTATTCCAATAAACAAGCTGTCAAACATTAGAGGGATGACATTTATAATTACAATTTTTCACATAAAAAATCATGATACTTCCAGAAAATTCATCGTATAATGGGTGGCATTAGTGATAAGATTCACCTGCTATCATTTCTGTTAGGTGACTTTTTTTTATGATGAAAGGACAGAACATGCACCAAACTTGTAGAAAAAAATTCACTATACACTCAAACTTGCATACTAGAAACTTTCTTCGAGTTCATTTTATCCACACTTAGTAATTTTCCAAGCCAGAAATATACTTCTTTGAGTAAGTATTGAATTAATTATCACCAAAATAAGCAACATACCTCACACCACATCACAATTATAAAAAAAAACATGCCAAACAATGGAGCAAAGCATTTTCAGATTTTTAAAAACAGAACATTTGTAAAAGTGCAGTTTATCTAGAAATTCTTTCCAATGGTACATTGAAACCCTGGAGTGTAAACTTAACTGATTCCCACAATGCCTACAAATCCAGGCAACGAGGAACCCAAAGTGTGAAACTTTGTAGAATTCAAGAGTTGCATCTGTATGACCAGCCAGGTACTTGCAACATGCTGCCCCACTGAACTTAAAGTGTACATTGTTTTAATATAATCCCAATACAATTGTCCTGGGATACATTATGCAAAAAAAAATTGGTTTGGCTGCTCTTATGTTAGTGGAAATAAGTGAAAATATTTTAAAATAATTGCTGCATCAACAACAGCAATTAACAAATAGAGAATAAAACTGCTTAAGAAAAAGAGCAGAATGCTAGTATATACTATGAAACTATTAGCTGCTAAACCAGAGACTGTGACCAGACTACACAGGGATGGTCTCTCACTCTACAGACATAGCCAATGGTTTAGAACCCAGGCTAGACTGTGTCAATGACTTAGAACCCATATTTGGACTGTGTCTGTTTTTTTGTCAACCTGTTTTGAGCCCAAGTATTTTTAAGTTCAAGCTCTCGTTCTTTGGCCTGAAAAAAAATATTAAAAGATACTTTCAACATCACATGTTTGTACTAGTACTTATAAAAAAACTGTTAGATCTTGAAAGAAAACATTATTAAAAAAATAAATGGAGTGCCTGGATTGCAAGAGCCTATGTTAAAGATGGTGTTACGGTATCACAATTGTACTTATACATGTAAAAATAGTAAGTACCTGGTATGCAAGATATGTGATCTGCTTCTTACGTCTTTGTTGGGCTGTGGGCAGGTTGTCCTTGCTTTTGTGGGAGACATATTCACTTTCTTCAGTCAGGTGCTTGGACGCTTCAGTTGGATCTACATAATCATCAACATTAGCATCTACAAAACTGATGGCCTCGTCAAATCCTCGTTTGCGCTTGCCTTGTAATTTCTGGAACTTTAAAGAGCAGAACAAAACCAATATATTACTGACATATAAGCCTTTAATGTTCCAACTAGAGCTCACTAACCATTAATATATTCATACACATGCATGTAGTTGGATGGTAGAGAGTAAAATTGCTAACTCAAAAGTCTCGAGTTAGATCCCAAGCTTAAGTGCATAGGATGTCCCTGAGTCTGATAGGTACCAAATTCATGTAAAAGAAAGTAAAGGCAGCTGGAAATAGTGCACATTATCCCCTGATATGCCAGGCTTACTGAAATGGGAACTTACTCCAACTGCTCCATGGACCCATCAGGTTCAAAAGGGCACTTTACTTACTACATTACACACACATACAGATCAATATAAAAATATGTAACACAACATCATAGAGGCATTATTAAAATTCTTTTACATGTAGTTTTAAAATTTCCAGTGATTATAGTTTTACCTCTTTATCATTCATAAATTTCTGCAAGTCTTCATCTGTCCCAGTATTCTGCATATTGTCTATATCTTCTTGTAGGCCCTTAAGAAGAATCAGTATTAATCTTTAAAAAATGATACAGTGCATGATAATTTTTAAAAATAAGTATGGTAATTTTCATTTTACTCAAAGTTTAATTAATTTTAAAAGGACTTTCATAAACATGTGATGCTGAGAAAAGTAAATGCGCTTATTATACACTCACTTAATGTATCACAGTCATAAGAACTATACTCAATCAGTTCTAGGGATAGTAATATCAGAAGTAAATGTACTTTGCTATATACCCTTTTCTTTAAACATAATCTTTAGAAGCATCAGCTCTTCTATCTTACCTCTGAATTCACTAGGTTATACTGTGAATTAGAAGGCACTGAAAATGAGCTGCTGTAGGTAGAAAATGATGGCTGCTGGTGAACGGGACCAGATGGCCCAACAGGACCAGATGGCCCAACAGGACTGAGAAAACTGTAGGATGAACCAGTCCAGGAGGAGAGACGATTGACACTTCTAAAATCAAGTGGGGCGTCATTCACAGCACCAGGCTCAGGCTCTTCAGGAGGTTCAGCTGGGCCCTCCTCTGTGACTGCGTTGTTATCCACATCTTCATCACCCACACCCCGTTTGGCTGGGTTCAGTTCCACCTCTGAACTAGAGACCTCCTCGCTCTGAAGCCTTTCATGTGCTTTGGTTGAGGTCTGAGCTGGATTCACTTCGGACGTGACATCTAATGAAAAAAAATTGGTTGCGCTATCTTTGTATCCGGCTTCATCATCACTGTCACTCTCATAGCCTGTCAGTGCATTGAAAGTTGTGAGACGTTTAGGAGACATGGCTGCCTCAGATGATGTGTGGGACTGTGAGGACTGGTTAGAACTCTTTGAAGCAACGTTGCTAGCAGCCGCTTTCGTCTGCACTGGTTTTTTGCCGAGACTATGTGGGATCAGGGGTCTGTTGATTTCCTTTTTAGCTGAATGCATTGGCGCAGGCAGCAAAGAGAACAGACTTGATCTCACCTGTAAATGAATATCATTTATTATACATTAGCTAATAGTGAAAATATATAAATCATATAAGTAATTTTTTCAACACATATTTTCTGACTAATTTCTATATACATTATGTCATCTTTTAATTTAAGTAGAAATATAGGAATATATCAATACATATCTCTTACCAAAGATGGTGCAGTTTGTTTTTCATGAGTTGTTTCATCCTCTTGTGGCACCTTAAGGATAAAAGAATTTTTCCTATTTAGTTTAATGCATTATGTATATATTTTATACACATAAAGTGTGAATGGCTGATATTTTGTAGTTTATGTGGCATAGATAATATGGAGCAATGTTATAACTAAAACATTGTCATATTTTAGTTTTTGCAAATGAATTAATAAGCTGGCACACACATCATTCATAGAAATGTATATCTTCTTGATATATAGAGGTGGTTGATTTTGATAATTTTATTCAAGATAAAGATGTGAGCAAAAGTGACTCATTTTAAGTTTAGTGTTATATACGCTCAATCCTTAGTCTTCAACATGTCATTTAATGAGCGCTATGAATGTCTATTTACACAAATACCTCTTGTAATGATGGAATTGTAATTTTCACTGGTTGTTTCAACTTTTTCTTAGGTGGCTGTGGAGCATCAGCAATCTCTGCTGCTTTTGGTTTCACTTCATCTTCTAATTCTTCTTCCTCAACTTCAGAGTTCACATCAGCAGACAGCTGGTTTGGTGTTGGTAAATCTAATGAAAAATTTCAAATGTCACAATATTTTATTTCAAACCATTAACTAAACAAACCATGCCAAAAAAACATTTTATTTTAAAGATAATAGTATGATGGTTTAAAAAAAACATAGCCACTAAATAATAAACATCCATATTTAATCTATTATTTGAGGGCACTAAATTTGAGGGTGTTAGCTCAAAATTATTTCATTTAAAATGTATTGTCACTCACAGTGATTCCAAATATAATTTATCAAGTGAAAAAAATTAACATTGTATTAAAATCTATTCCTTTACACAAATAGTAGATTATCTAGAACATGTACTATTTTAGAGTTCATTAATTATTTAGGAGTATTGAATTAAATAGTATTCCTGACAAGTATGTTATGAAAAGTTGAGTAAATTTTGGATGTAGCAAGAATAACTACCAAACTAAAAAAAACTTTGTCTTTGGGGTACTGTCTGCTAGCATAAGCAATTTACGGTAATACATAACGATATAATGTTGGTTACTATTCCGGAATGGTACAGCAGTAAGAAACAGTAAAATATGGCATAGTCTGTCACGGTGTTCTAGAAACCAACAGAAATACTGTAAACCATCATTTATTTGGCGCTTTATTATTTTTAATACAAAATGTTTAAAATGTGCATAGATTGATTTTAGTTGCATTTTAAATATAGTGTTTTGCTAATTATTAGGCCTATGTATTTCTAATTATTTTAAGTGTATGTGCTAATTATTGCTGCCACTAAACATTGTTGTAGTTCTTACTACTTTTAACTTCAGTAAATATAATTTTCTTATTTTACTAGATCTAGTTTTCGCAAATCTTCTGCACGTTTTTCTCTGAGTTTCTTAAAAAAACGTTAATTGCTACACTCAACTTTATTAATAATATTTAGATTTTAGATCAACTAGGCCCCCTAATTACTACTAATTAGGCCTAATTGTTGCATATTTTCTGTCAAACTTTAAACTTTAAATTAAGTTAAAGCAATAATTTTATGCACTTGACTTTTTCTTATTTCAACTATCAAATAAACTATGGTTTACAGTAGGCCTAACGAATGCTAATGAAACTCAACAAACATAACCGAATAATTTCTGACGCTGTCGTGAGATTAACGGAATTTACCTAGCCTACCTTCTAATGATGTAAGTGACGTTGAATTCACTGCATCATCATTCTTTGTTAACGTAAATGTAGTCTGCAAAACTTCATTATTTAATTCACTGCTTGTTGTAGTTACAACTGCAGATGGGAAAACTGATGTTGAGCTAACAGCTCCCATGTCATCCTCGTCACTGATGTGACCCGAAGTAACATCAGGTGCGTCTGATGACATTGGAATATTGGAAACATCTTCCGTATCACTAGCATCACTATCGTCGCTAGCTCCGTATGCTACTAGACCTAACGACATTGCACACTTTCAAAACGTCAAGAAATGAGTTGCACAATGGGTTTGTTGTCTTTCCACGATACTACTGTTTATGTTTGGCCGGAAGTGCAATTTATCTAAGATAATAAAGGGGAGCTACTCTAAATTAGCATAATAAGTAAAATATCAAAGATAGTTAACTCCCTTCATCGTTTCTATTTCGTATTTGTAAGGTTTGGGGGGGGGGGGGGACTTGATTAAAATTATAAATAATCTAGTCGGTCAAATAATTTATAACAAAAAAATATTTCGTCACGACTCCTAAAACGTATCAGCTTCTCCAGTTCTCTTATTATAAAGTATTCGATTTTAAAGTCCTCAGACTGATGTCACAGAAGGCGTTATCATTAGTCCTGCCAAATCAAGGATTTTAAATTTTAAAATTTTATCGCAATGATGAATGTTGATTTAATGGGGAACGGACACACTACGCGAATATTTTTTTTTTTAAATTAACTCTCCACTGCCCCCATCTCCAACCAAATAAAAAAAAAAATAGAACTAAAAAAAAAAAAAATTGGAAAGAAATCTCAAAACCATCGCCTAATTAGGCATAAATATGGCCTCATTTTCGATAAAAGGTTATGACGTCTACTTTTTTTCCCGAGCAACAGGTTCATTAATGATATTATTGATAGACTGCCTTATCCATAGATCTAAATAATAAAATTAATATTGACTTCAAAACAGAATGGACGGACACGGTGCACAGGGAAGTGGTCCAAGGCCTAAAAGTAATACTATAGCTAGATGTTGCAATACAGTGTTATACTGTAGCTAGATCTAGTGTTTTTTACTATACTATATAGATGTTTCAAATTCAGTGTTATACCATAGCTAGATCTCTGCAATACAGTGTTATACTGTAGCTAGATCTAGATCCTCTGTCTAGATGTTGCAATACAGTGTCTATACTATAGCTAGATGTTTCAAATTCAGTGTTATACCATAGCTAGATCTAGATGTTGCAATACAGTGTTATACTATACCTAGATGTTGCAATACAGTGTTATACTATAGCTAGATGTTGCAATACAGTGTTATACTATAACTAGATGTTGCAATACAGTGTTATACTATAACTAGATGTTGCAATACAGTGTTATACTATACCTAGATGTTGCAATACAGTGTTATACTATAACTAGATGTTGCAATACAGTGTTATACTATAGCTAGATGTTTAAATTCAGTGTTATACTATAGCTAAATGTTGCAATACAGTGTTATATTATAGCTAGATCTTGCAATACAGTCTTATACTATAGCTAGATGTTTCAAATTCAGTGTTATACTATATCTAGATGTTGCAATACAGTGTTATACGATAGCTAGATGTTGCAATACAGTGTTATACGATAGCTAGATGTTGCAATACATTGTTATACTATAGATAGCTAGATGTTGCAATACAGTGTTATACGATAGCTTGATGTTGCAATACATTGTTATACTATAGATAGATGTTGCAATACAGTGTTATACTATATATAGATGTTGCAATACAGTGTTATATGTTGCCATAAATGGTAATACTTTGAGTAGATGTTGCCTTACAGTGTAAATACGCATAGACATTGCCATGTAATTTATATGGAAAACATACTTTTACAAGTTCTCCCCCCCCCCCCACTCGAAAACTTTAGCCCCCCCCCCCCCCCCCCCCCCCCGGAATTTTAAAGTGCCATCCGCGGAAAAAAAAGTCTGAAAGAAACCATGCACGTGACGCCAATGGCCCACTCCACCTTGTACGCTTACCTGCTACTGTTTTAGTTGAAGTCTACAGTGTCATGTGTGTTTTATTGATGAGAACATTATTGTATTGGTCCTATACATGTGTATATATATATATATATATATATATATAATATATATATATATATATAATCACTACCAGAACTGAATGAGCGTCCAGACACCACAACAGGACATGATGGCAGAAAGAACCGTCTAAAAGAATGTGAGTGGATACTGGTTTGGTTCTTGTTGTAAACACGTCGACATGCTGAATCAAATCAACGTATTCTTTGTGTCGCTAGAAAAGCCTGGGGCTGACCTCCCCACCCCCCCCCCCCCCCCGCCTGGGACCTGAGTAAAAATATTAGTAGATAGATTGGTATTATGATGTAAGCACTGGTGTGGAGGGCGTGATCTGATGGTATAGAGCGCGACTGCTAACCCGACTGTCTAGAAGTCGGATACCGAGTACTTAGGACATCCATGAGTCCACCCAGCTTTGATGGGTACCTGACACACGTTAGGGAAAGTGAAGACGGTTTGGGAATAGTGCTGACCTTAGTATCCTTTCATATGCCGCAATCACAGAAACATACGAACCCCACTTCATCGGCCCAATGCACCGCAAGGTTAGAAAGGGTAACTAATTTTTTTAATGATGAAGTAAACACTGCTTAATTAGGCTTAGAATCACGCTGCTTATTCCATCCTACCAGAATATCAGCTGCGGTGTTGGACCCTGAGGGTGTTGGACCCTAAGGGTGTTGGACCCTGAGGGTGTTGGACACTAAGGGTGTTGGACCCTGAGGGTGTTGGACCCTAAGGGTGTTGGACCCTGAGGGTGTTGGACCCTAAGGGTGTTGGACCCTGAGGGTGTTGGACCCTGAGGGTGTTGGACCCTAAGGGTGTTGGACCCTGAGGGTGTTGGACCCTGAGGGTGTTGGACCCTGAGGGTGTTGGACCCTAAGGGTGTTGGACCCTGAGGGTGTTGGACCCTGAGGGTGTTGGGCCCTGAGGGTGTTGGGCCCTGAGGGTGTTGGACCCTGAGGGTGTTGGACACTGAGGGTGGGGTGGGATGGTGGGGACTGCAGCATGTAATACAATTATCCACAGCGCAGATTGTATACAATGTAATCCATTTATCCACCATGAAGGTTGTATCAAATGTAATCCATTTATCCACAGAGAAGAATGTATTCAATGTAATCCATTTATCCACAGTGAAGATCGTATAAAATGTAATCTATTTATCCACAGTGAAGAACCCCCGTCGTAAAGCGAATAAAGCTGACAACAACGTCACATCAGCGACTCCAGAAAAGCCCTAGCCATTGCCAGTTTTTTTTTTTTTGTTTCAAAGCCAAATGTAAATTAAAAATTTTAAAAATGTGTTAAAAGTTGGAAGTTCGTTTTTATTTATTTTTCTGCTGTATTGGTTTCGGTTCGCCCATATAGTTCTCGTGTTTGTCATTTTGGATCGACCTCGGGGTAAATGTGTAAAATGTCAAGTTTTGTTTGAAATGAATACTAGTTGTTTGGTGGGAGGGGGGGGGAATAATTGAAAAGGTTTGCCATCCTTTTGTTTGTGTGAGACATATAAGCACAAAAATGGTCAGCACCTAAATCAGATAGCCTACAGAGTAGCTGAAATCATCACATACCCATGGTATGGGTCGTCGTGGTCGGGTCGATAGAGATCATTGCTGCTAAACCGCAGAGACCAGAGTTCGAACTCCCGGGTAGATGAGGCTCGATAGGGAAGAAAACTCCTAAATTGCAACATTGTAGTTTGCTCTTGGTTGGATTAATGCTATGAAAACAAATTCAGAAAGAAAAGCAGGCTGAAATTGTGGCCAACGGTCTGGTAGGGCGCCTTACCAGCTGACACGTAATACTTGTGTCGGAGGAAATCCCTTCCTTATAGAATTAATGGACATGAATGATGTCCCTATCAATATATTATCCTCCACTTACTGATGAAGAATAGGCACCCATCATCTATTTATCGATGATGAATAGGTACTCGTCATCTATTTATCGATGATGAATAGGCACCCATCATCTATTTATCGATGATGAATAGGCACTCGTCATCTATTTATCGATGATGAATAGACACCCATCATCTATCGATGATGAATAGGTACCCATCATCTATCGATGATGAATAGACACCCATCATCTATGTATCGATAAGAACAGGCACACATTATCTATTTATCGATGATGAATAGGTACCCATCATCTATTTATCGATGATGTATAGACACCCATCATCTACTTACTGGTAAACAGATATCCATTATCTACTTAGTTTGGATAAAGAAATTTTTCTATAATAAGCTTTTTAATTCACGTAGAATTTAACATTTAAAAGCTTATTATTATAAATGTTTTTTAAATATTTGTTTATATAAACATCTATAACACTATGACTTTTAACGCTTCACTAAATGCTATTTATCAAAAACAGGATTCCAGCCCTATGTAATGTATGGTACAGTAGTATATGCTGAGGTGTAAACGTTAGAATGTTTTAACATTAAGACAAAAATTCACTGTACTTTCCTATTAAGACCAAAATTTATAAAAGACCAATTTTTAAGTTTTTTTTTTAAATTAAAAAAAATCAACATTTCAATAAAAAGGTGTGATTTAAGCATTCAATACAAAATATCTGACAACAAAATAAAGGTATGGTGTTAAGTTGGTCAACTAAAACCACAACGGCGTTATTTTACTGAAGAAAAGTACAAAAATAAAGACTACTGGAGTCCGAACAATAATTTTGTGTTTGTTGGTTAGAAATTTTTTAAGCTGTTTTTTTTTTTTTTTTAAATTTAAACCTAAATCTGTACAAATTTAGAAATTTTAATTCTTTATGTAAAGAATTTTCATAAGAGAGAACTTGAAAAGAATTTTCAACAACCTAGGCCAACAAAGGGTCAAAGCATAGTGCCCATGAGGCTATGTGTAGTATATTTCTGAGCTCGATAACAAATAATTGCATACAGTCAAAGAAATAGATGTCACAAAACACAATGTACATGTTTCTTCAAGCTAACGATAACTCAAATATTGTCATCAAAGAACAGAGTATGGTATTGTCGCCCATCAAAACTCAGCGTCCATGTGTCGCCCTATAATACACACTATCATTAGTACTGTATATTATACAGCCCGTCATTCTGTTTATAAAAATCTCAATAACGCTTTTCATCTACGTACTCAAGGTCCTGACTTTATCAATGCTTATCATCTCAATGGCTATAGATCTAAAACTAAATAAATACGCAGCAAAAAAAAATGTGATACTGACTACAGGAAGTACTCACGCACAAGTGCGCACCACACAGACAACAAAAAACAGACGCGCATCAGCCTGTAGATGAAACAACTGTGTCCAGGCTACTTGTCTATTGATTTAACTTTAAACATCTGTCAGCGCGGCCTCATTCTGATCGGTTGAAAACTTCAAATCATGGACGCGGATGAATACATAACTCCTGGTGGGAGAAGCGTAGTGGAGTTCTCTACGTAAGTCTAATGGGTGGGATTTTTAATTCCCATGATCTAGAATCTAGGCCCTATTCTAGACCAAGCACTTACTCTAGATCTAGATCTAGAATCTAGATATAATTAAAACCGAGAGTCTACTATGTTAATCACATGTTCACTGAACTAGCAGTAAACTTTTAACTGTAATTTTAACAATACCAGTGAGTTTTCTAAATATGTCTCATACGTTTACTTGGTAGACCAAGCCTAGCTAATGCCCAAACTGTACCCATCACAGTCATATCACCAGGCGAAACACCCTAAATAAATACCGCACTGTATTAAACAGCGATCAGTATAATATTGTACAACTATCAGGAAAGGATAGAGTTAGGATTATTGACAGTTGAAATAATACCCAGTAGCATCCCCACCCCCACCCCCCCCCCCACATAAGGCAAGGGTGAGGGGTGCAGATACCACCGAGTAGTGCCATACTTTAGGGTGACACCGAAACAAAATCTAGCCAAATAAAATGAGAAATACTTTTCACAGTTACTTACATAAGTTGTTATGGAAATATTCATCATTAGATACAGGGTGACACCATCGGTGTGGGGTGACACCATCGGTGTGGGGGTGACACCATCGGTGCGGGGGTGACACCATCGGTGTAGGGGTGACACCATCGGTGTAGGGGTGACACCATCGGTGGGGGGTGACACCATCGGTTTGGGGGTGACACCATCGGTGTAAGGGTGACACCATCAGTGGGGGGTGACACCATCGGTTTGGGGGTGACACCATCGGTTTGGGGGTGACACCATCTATGTGGGGGTGACACCATCGGTGTGGGGGTGACACCATTAGTCTGGGATGACAACGAATTACCTATAGTTTTAGTATGTCATATATCCTCGTTGACGTATATGGTGATACCATAGACTACCGCAGCGAGTGACACTAGAGCTGGTAACGCCGCTAGAAGCAACTCCACTAATCTTAATAACCATTACCAGGTGATGTCGTATAACTTCCCACAGGATAATCTCCTCCCACTAACACGATAATCTCTCTCCCTCCCCAGGTTCGAGGATTACCTGAACAGCCAGGTGTCTAAATCCGACCTGGACTACCTTGAAGATGCTCACATTGCCAGAAAACTTGTCGAGCTGGGTTTCCGTGGCTCTCGCGATGGCTTCACACAGGACGAGTTCTACATGCTCAAAAATAAATTTGAGATCAGCAAGGCTATACGTAATGTGGTGAGTTGGGGTGGGAGGTGGCTTGTTTCTGTAGTGTGGGTCAGGTTGTTACAGTACGGTGAATGGTGAGTTAGGTTGTTACGGTCTGGTGAGTTAGGTTGCTACGGTCTGGTGAGTTAGGTTGCTACGGTCTGGTGAGGTAGGTTGGTACGGTCTGGTGAGTTAGGTTGGTACGGTCTGGTGAGTTAGGTTGTTACAGTATGGTGAATGGTGGTTAGGTTGTTACGGTCTGGTGAGTTAGATTGTTACGGTCTGGTGAGTTAGGTTGCTACGGTCTGGTGAGGTAGGTTGGTACGGTCTGGTGAGTTAGGTTGGTACGGTCTGGTGAGTTAGGTTGGTACGGTCTGGTGAGTTAGGTTGTTACGGTCTGGTGGGTTAGGTTGTTACGGTCTGGTGAGTTAGGTTTTTACGGTCTGGTGAGTTAGGTTGTTACGGTCTGGTGAGTTAGGTTGTTACGGTCTGGTGAATGGTGGGTTAGGTTGTTACGGTCTGGTGAGTTAGGTTGTTACGGTCTGGTGAGGTAGGTTCTTACGGTCTGGTGGGTTAGGTTGTTACGGTCTGGTGAGTTAGGTTGTTACGGTCTGGTGGGTTAGGTTGTTACGGTCTGGTGAGTTAGGTTGTTACGGTCTGGTGGGTTAGGTTGTTACGGTCTGGTGAGTTAGGTTTTTACGGTCTGGTGAGTTAGGTTGTTACGGTCTGGTGAGTTAGGTTGTTACGGTCTGGTGAATGGTGGGTTAGGTTGTTACGGTCTGGTGAGTTAGGTTGTTACGGTCTGGTGAGGTAGGTTGTTACGGTCTGGTGGGTTAGGTTGTTACGGTCTGGTGAGTTAGGTTGTTACGGTCTGGTGGGTTAGGTTGTTACGGTCTGGTGAGTTAGGTTGTTACGGTCTGGTGAATGGTGAGTTAGGTTTTTACGGTCTGTTGAGTTAGGTTGTTACAGTATGGAGAATGGTGAATTAGTTTAAATCGGTGTTGTGTGACATGTTTTTCTTGTCTGGTGAGTTAGGTTGTTACGGAGTGGTACTGACGTGTAATTAACGAACCCATTACATAAAGTCTGTCTTGTCGTGACTCTGAATGTTTCAGAAAATTTTGTTAAGCGCCGGCAAAACGTACGAGGACGGCTTTTTGCGAGCTATGCAGATGAGAGAGGAGGGAAACAGAAACGGGAAAAACGCGTCCATCTTTTACGTCAGAACATACAACAAACAAGGTCAGTACACTCATGTATTGTGTAATCTACAACATAATGTATTCTACTTCGTAATACAGACTACAAAATGTAATCTACTAAAAATGTAATCTACTACATAATCTATTCTGGAATATCTCTCCACATCTTGGCAGTGTTACTTTCAGACTGCTCTCAGCCCCCCCCCTCTTCCTCCCAGAAGCACATCCATCGCCCTCCGCCCCCCCCCCCCCCCCCCCATTCTCCCAATCAGTCAAAGTAGAAAATATAGGCTATACGTATAGAGAAAACTTATAATTTAACCAATGTCCCCACCCCCGTCCCCCCCCCCCCCACTGCCCCCACTCACACACAAGTTTGATGTGCCCACCTGGAAGTCTTAACAGCCCTTTCCACCTCCCCCCCCCCTAGTCCTAAGTAACCTTTGAACTCACTCTAGCATTGATTCTAATACCAATCACGACTTTACAAGTGATATCAACAGACGCAAAAATCGAGATTTTTCGTCTAAAGATCCATCACCTTTAGTCAAGAACATACTCTAAATTTTTAATGTGATATTCGTTGTCGACATATTTTCTTACATCAGTATTTTTTCTGATATGTTATAGGTCAAGAGATCTCGGCCTATATAGATTACGCCTACAGGTTAGCAACAGAAGATTTCCGTCCCATCTTCAACATGGAGAAAAAGTTTGAGCCGCGCGTCACAGACCTGAGCTATTATAACTGGGAAACGACACAAATTTCTGGATGTAGCTCTCCCAACTACGAGGTAAGGAAAATGTTGTGTAGCTCTTTTTAAGAGAAGTAAGAAACGTCTCTGACTAAAGTGAAATTGTGAAATGCGAGTCGGTGTCGTGTCAACAAACACCTTGAATATAAATGACCCGCGACATAAACCCCAACCTAATACTGGCAGCACCCCCCCCAACCCCCCCCCCCCCCACACACACACACTATACTTGACCAAAGATCCCTTTTTGTGGTTTATATCATAAAATAATGTCTAAAATAAAAGTTAATAATTATGGTAGGGCTGTATGAAAATAATAATACTATTTTGATGTTATTGGATAACAATACCTAAATTGTTGACGTAACTATTTACCCCTGTATCATAAACTGCCTACAAATTGTGACAGAGGTTGAGCTGTGATTTACTTTGTATTCGTTGGATACACAGTAGATCAGGACAAGCACCGAAAATTAATGTTTCCTCCAGACTTTTTTTCCAGGAGGGGGGGGGGGGGCACTTGATATTTTTGGGGGGCGAACAACATTTTCCGGGGGGGGGGGGGTGGAGAGTGGGCGGACACTAATAAAAGTAATTTTTCTTTATAAATTCAATTTCGTTCGGGGCGGTAGATTTCCCGAAGAGATGCCTGGAAGAAACTCTGCCGACAACATCTTCGATACCATCACAACACCGCGCCTCGAGTCGAGGGCGGTGGAGGTCAAAGGTTAAATCAATGGAACACGTTACTAACAAACCAATAGAAGAGGGAGGTTCATTATTGGATTGGCAGATCACAAGATTGCCAGCCGAGACACACTATGCTCCTACTTGCTGAGTAGAACATTCTCAGACGTCCAAAATTCGACTAGCGGTTAGCCTAAAACAAACAAGCATTTTTCTAAACCCCAGTTAATACGCTCTATTGACCGTCAATGCTATACGTGTAAAAGTATCATTAATGTTATAAATTACAAATATGCAGCTTTATTATATTAGGATAAGTTAAATATCAAGATCACTGCCCTCTCACCTACGGAGGGTGCTACAACTGCCAAGGTTGGTAGCAGTGTTTCTTCCAAACTTTTTTCTCCGGGGGGGGGGGGGCACTTGAAATTTTCGGGGGGGGCGGTAGACTTTCTTCGGGGGGGGGGGGGGCGGACACTGTTAAAAGTATATATTTTCTATATAAATTATATAAATTTAATTTCGTTCGGGAGGGGCGGTAAAAATTTTTCGGGAGGGCTTCGCCCCCCCCCCCCCCCCCCCGAAGAGATGCCTGGAAGAAACTCTGGTAGGTAGGTCAGCAGACAAAAGTAAACTCCACAAATCAAAGATAAGAGATTGAGTTTAAATTATTTCATTTTACATTATTATCCGCTTCGAATTCTTCCTCCAACAGGTTGTCGCCTCCAACCCCCGCGGGATGGTTTTCAGAAACAAACGGGATGGCAAATCTGTCAACCCCGACTATGGCACTCCGTTCGGCGACAACTCGAGCCGCACCAACATCTGCACTGACGAGTACCTCAGTGCTTTCGTCATGGATCACTATCACCGACGTTAGAGCCGGCCTCTCACCTTTTTATTTTTATTGGAGTCGATAGCGGCCGTCATCAATACATCACACATTATGGCTTATGGACACAAGAATAAACAAACAAAATATAGTGTATCCAATGAGTGGTATATGTCATCTAGATAAGTGGTAGCTGTCATCTAGATAAGTAGTAGATGTCAGCTAGATAAGTGGTGTATGTCATCTAGATAAGTGGTAGATGTCATCTAGATAAGTGGTAGATGTCAACTAGATAAGAGGTTGATGTCAGATAGATAAGTGGTAGATGTCAACTAGATAAGAGGTTGATGTCAGATAGATAAGTGGTAGATGTCAACTAGATAAGAGGTTGATGTCAGATAGATAAGTGGTAGATGTCAACTAGATAAGAGGTTGATGTCAGCTAGATAAGTGGTGTTTGTTATCTAGATAAGTAGTAGATGTCGTCTAGGTAGTGGTATATGTCATCTAGATAAGTGGTATTTGTTATCCAGATAAGGGGTAAATGTCAGCTAGATAAGTGGTAGATGTCATATAGATAAGTGGTAGATAACTTCTAAATAAGTGGTAGATGTCATCTAGATAAGTGGTATTTGTTATCCAGATAAGGGGTAAATGTCAGTTAGATAAGTGGTAGATGTCATATAGATAAGTGGTAGATAACTTCTAAATAAGTGGTAGATGTCATCTAGATAAGTGGTATTTGTTATCCAGATAAGGGGTAAATGTCAGCTAGATAAGTGGTAGATGTCATATAGATAAGTGGTAGATAACTTCTAAATAAGTGGTAGATGTCAGCTAGATAAGTGGTAGATGTCAGCTAGATAAGTGGTATATGTTATCTAGATAAGTGGTAGATGTCAGCTAGATAAGTGGTATATGTCATCTAGATTAGTGGTAGATGTCAGTTAAATAAACGTAGAGACAACGAGACAGACGTGTTACATACATCGTCTCCGTACATCCTTCACTCATTGTTTACCCCGGTCATTGACTATCTGACCAACAGAACAAGTAAACATCTGCTGTGTAACTAGTACAATGGTGGACCCACACATCTCACTGCCTTGTTTATTACTGTAGTTCTAGTTTACTCTGTTTCCTTGGTTACCATTGTTTCTTACTGTTATTCTAGTTTACTCTGTACTTGGTTACCATTGTTTCTTAATGTTATTCTGGTTTACTCTGTTTTCTTGGTTACCATTGTTTCTTACTGTTATTCTAGTTTACTCTGTACTTGGTTACCATTGTTTCTTAATGTTATTCTGGTTTACTCTGTTTTCTTGGTTACCATTGTTTCTTACTGTTATTCTAGTTTACTCTGTACTTGGTTACCATTGTTTCTTAATGTTATTCTGGTTTACTCTGTTTTCTTGGTTACCATTGTTTCTTACTGTTATTCTAGTTTACTCTGTTTCCTTGGTTACCATTGTTTCTTACTGTTATTCTGGTTTACTCTGTTTCCTTGGTTACCATTGTTTCTTACTGTTATTCTGGTTTACTCTGTTTTGTTGGTTACCATTGTTTCTTTATGTTATTCTAGTTTACTCTGTTTTCTTGGTTACCATTGTTTCTTTCAGCATCTTTTCTAGGGTGTGGGTGGGGGGGGGGGGGGGGGTTACCACCTCCCCTCGCCCCAGTCTACCCTTCCCCGGACAAAATTTTAAAAATATATCGATTATATAGGAAATTTACATTTTAACCTTTTAACCCGTATCTGCAAAACTTGGTAGTGCCAGACAGGCTACAACTTTTTGTTTACAACTTAAACAACTTTTACTTCAAACTGAGCTTTGTTTTACTTAAAACAAAATAAAAACCTTAACCTACACTCACACTGACACACACACACAAGTCAATTTGTAAATTAAAGTTTTAATTTTGTGATCAAGTGTAAAAATAAAATATACTGTCAATGGTAGTTTACTGTAAAATGACAATACACAATTCAACATAAAATCATAATGATTATTTAAAACTTAAACATAAATATAACACTATAAATGCAAATATAAAATAAAAACTGTCTCGACACAAACTAAAAGTCAAGGTAGTTATGAATTTTCCTGGCCCCCTGGTTGAGCTTGGGAAAATGGACCATGCGGTATATCCTGGGAGACGTGGTTTTATCTCGCCCCATCTTTGCCCGCCGGATCTCATCGTATTTCTCGACAACGTCTTTCCGCCTCATCGACACCAATGCGTCACGCAGGTCCGCCACGCATGCGCGGGTGTGCATCCGTCGCCACCTGCACAAGGCGTGGTGCGCCTGTTCCTGCGTGTTCCTCAGGAACCTGGATGAGATGTCGTCGATGTCTGAGGAGATAGTCTCGACACCCCGGCTCGGGTAGAAGGGCAGGCAGCGGTAGAGGCGGCTCCACTTGGGGCCGATCTCAGCTTCAACAAACCGGCACAGTCTCTCTAGGCCGTCTGGAGGGTAAATATGCTGGTTATTGCAGAGGGCGGGACATTTTATTTTACGGTCAACACACACACACTGACATACAGACACACAAACCGGCACAGTCTCTCCAGGCCGTCTGTAATGTAAATATGCTGGTTGTTATAGCAGGGGACGGGACATTTGATTTTACTGTCAACACACACAATGGCATACAGACACACACACACAGGAATACAGAAACACACACACACACACATCGGCACAATCTCTCCAGGCCGTCTGGAGGGTAAAGATGTGGTTGTTATAGCAGATGACGGGACATTTTATTTTATATTAAACATACACACACGCACACTGGTATACAGACAGATACACAAACTGGCATACAGACACACACACACACACCAATGTTTCTTCCAGACTTTTTTCTCGGGGGGGGGCACTTGAAATTTTCGGGGGGGGGGGGGGGCTGGAACTAAAAAATTTGGGGGGCGGACACTGTTAAAATTATATATTTTCCTTATAAATTCCATAAATTCCATTTTGTTCGGGGGAGGGGGTGATAGAAGTGATGCCTGGAAGAAACACTCACACACACACACACACACAGGCATACAGAAACACACATATATCCACATGTGGGCGTTACTGCATGTTACTATTGTGACAGTTGTAAAATTGTCTGACTAGTTTTCAGGATTTGATTTTAGCGGGAGAAAAAAATATTCTAAACAGTCGATTGGTCTATATGGATCGTTTGTTTTAATTTTGATTCACATTATTTTAAAATGTATGCCTTTTTATTGATTTTTTTAATTTATAACGTTGTAAATTCATCAAAAATAGGTCGAAGATTTTAAACGTCGGTATCTAGACTAACCTTTTTTCTTTTTCAATCCTTGATTGGTTTTGGAATACACCGGCATATTGTGGAATATCTTTTTAAGCGTTTCGTTGCTGGCTTTCAGCAAATAAATCTCCTTCAGCCTGGCTATACACGTGTCCAAGGCCTCCAGCTCCACCTCGGCTTTTCTAGCCGACTTCCTGGACAGTTTGAGTTCCTGCAGCACCTTCTCCAGGGCCTCCTGCTTCTGCTGCAGCTGCACCTCTCGGCCGTTGATCCACGTCTGCTGTTTCTCAAGGTCCGTAAGGCGTCTTTCTATGGCGGGTTTTCGAGTTTTCAGGTCGATAATTTCAGTTTGGAGACGTTCGAACTGTTCCTAAAATTTTTAATGCTCGTGTATTAATAGTCTGAGGGGATAATTGGGATTTTTGTGTTGTTTCCACGCCTAAACTTTTGGGATGGCGTGGTCGAATTGTAGAGCGTTTGTCTGCTAACCCGAAAGTAGCGAGTTCGGGTCCCTTACTAGAGTCATGACACGTCACTAAGTACACCCAGCTGAGATGGGTTCCTGACTTACGTTAGGGAAAGTAAAGGTGGCTGGGCATAGTGCTGCCTACAAGTATCCTTTCATATGCGGAAGTCACATCAACAGGTTAACTCTACTCCACCTACCCCATGAAAAAGTTGTTTGATAAGGGCATTGAAATACATTTTTATTGATTTAAATTGTCTATGCCAGGCAGCAACTGTTGTCTAAATATCTGTGACATTTCATACATGACGGGCATGGAATAACAGAAACAACAAGCCTGCCATTCTAAAGACCGACTACACTACAGTGTATGCTTTTGTTTAACTATCTGCCATCCTATCAGTCAACCTATTTATCTTTTGTTGTACTAGGTGTTTTTTTATATTGTTTACCGTGTCTGTCTGTTTGCTTTATATTCTCAGTCAGAATACCTAAGCCCCCTGACTTGAGATACGAGCATGTCCAGTCAATAATCTTGTCTACGTCAGTAGCTAATGAAGCTATCTCAGTGACACCTAAATATTGTCAGTGACACCGAAATCTCTGTCAGTGACAGCTAAATCTCTGTCAGTGACAGCTAAATCTCTGTCAGTGACAGCTAAATCTCTGTCAGTGACAGATGAATCTGTCAGTGTCACCTCAATATCTGTCAGTGTCACCTGAATCTCACCCAGTGCCAGCTGTATCGTGACATACCTGAGTCTCCCTGTCACTGCCAGTGCCAGCTGTATCGTGACATACCTGAGTCTCCCTGTCACTGCCACTGTCAGTGCCAGCTGTATTGTGACATACCTGAGTCTCCCTGTCACTGCCATTGATCTTCATCTCCAGCTTCCTGTACTCCTTGATGTTGAGATCCTCCAGGACCTCCTTGTTGGCCACCCGCAGCTTTTTCTCTTCGTCCTGGACCACATAAGATGTTGTGGTGTGAATGTTGGATCGTCTACTGGTGTGTTGTGTGTATGTTGGATCGTTCACTTGAGTGGTGTGTTATGTGAATGTTGGGTCTACTTGAGTGGTGTGTTATGTGAATGTTGGATCGTCTACTTGAGTGGTGTGTTATGTGAATGTTGGATCGTCTACTTGAGTGGTGTGTTATGTGAATGTTGGGTCTACTTGAGTGGTGTGTTATGTGAATGTTGGGTCTACTTGAGTGGTGTGTTATGTGAATGTTGGATCGTCTACTTGAGTGGTGTGTTATGTGAATGTTGGGTCTACTTGAGTGGTGTGTTATGTGAATGTTGGATCGTCTACTTGAGTGGTGTGTTATGTGAATGTTGGATCGTCTACTTGAGTGGTGTGTTATGTGAATGTTGGGTCTACTTGAGTGGTGTGTTATGTGAATGTTGGGTCTACTTGAGTGGTGAGTTATGTGAATGTTGGGTCTACTTGAGTGGTGCGTTATGTGAATGTTGGATCGTCTACTTGAGTGGTGTGTTATGTGAATGTTGGGTCTACTTGAGTGGTGTGTTATGTGAATGTTGGATCGTCTACTTGAGTGGTGTGTTATGTGAATGTTGGATCGTCTACTTGAGTGGTGTGTTATGTGAATGTTGGATCGTCTACTTGAGTGGTGTGTTATGTGAATGTTGGATCGTCTACTTGAGTGGTGTGTTATGTGAATGTTGGATCGTCTACATGAGTGGTGTGTTATGTGAATGTTGGGTCTACTTGAGTGGTGTGTTATGTGAATGTTGGATCGTCTACTTGAGTGGTGTGTTATGTGAATGTTGGATCGTCTACTTGAGTGGTGTGTTATGTGAATGTTGGGTCTACTTGAGTGGTGTGTTATGTGAATGTTGGATCGTCTACTTGAGTTGTGTGTTATGTGAATGTTGGGTCTACTTGAGTGGTGTGTTATGTGAATGTTGGATCGTCTACTTGAGTGGTGTGTTATGTGAATGTTGGGTCTACTTGAGTGGTGTGTTATGTGAATGTTGGATCGTCTACTTGAGTGGTGTGTTATGTGAATGTTGGATCGTCTACTTGAGTGGTGTGTTATGTGAATGTTGGATCGTCTACTTGAGTGGTGTGTTATGTGAATGTTGGATCATCTACTTGAGTGGTGTGTTATGTGAATGTTTGATCGTCCACTTGAGTGGTGTGTTATGTGCATGTCATTGCATGTGTCATTCAATGGATTATACAATTTTGTAGTGTTTTAAATGCATGTCATAGAATTCAATCACGGATTATACAATAAAGCAGGCTTTCAATTGGTACAGAGAAGTATCAACAGCCCTGGACTGGGGACCTCATGATTATTGTTCATATAGAAAACTCAGAGGCTGCAATGGCTTTACAAGGCCATCGAGATTGGTAAAGATGGTCATACAAGGCACTGCGCCAGGTACCAGAAAAACATAGGCATGTAGAAACACTGAGAGAGGGTAACAGTAGAGAGTCTAGTTATGGGAGAGACAATGAAGATGATAGTAAACAAGGGGATGGAAGATACTTGTTAAAGTACACTAGTAGCTGCCCAACGGTCAATCAGACAACGGGACAGATAGGTTTGATTAAGTGACAGATACATAGATCGATTAAGTTTACCCTTCTCCTCCCCCTCCACTTGTGTATAGAAAACTACTGACCTGTAACGCCTTCTGTTTAGGACGTAACTTCTTTATCTCCTCCAGACCTTCGCTGATACTTTTTTTCAGACTTTTAGCACTGAATTCGTTCATACTGGCCTTCATCTGGGCTTCTCTGTGTAGCCGCGTCTAGCTCGAGAAGGGTTGTTTGGTTTTAGTTAAGTTAGGGTTTAACACATGAATTGACTGTATGAGACTAATATCAGCATTAGATACGGTCCATCTGATCTTAGTTAATTAGATGAAGAATTTCCATTGTTTAACCTCGCGGTTGATGGGGCTAATGAAGTAGAGTTCGCCTGCTTCTGCGACTTCGGCATATGAAAGGATAGAGTGGTCAGTACTATGCCCAGCTACCTTTACTTTACCTAACGTGAGTCTGGCACCCATCAGAGCTGGATGGACTCAGGGACTTGAACCAGGATTCGAACTCTTTCGCGGTTAGGAGTCTAGCGCTCTACCGCTAGACCACGCCATCCCTATATCAGAAGAGAAAAGCGTTATAGTCTTAATTAAGCTGAAACAATTACCTGTTGCTCCTTCTTCTTCTCCAAATCCTTGATGTCAAAGCTGAGGAACTCTGGGTAGGCCATATCGGCCTCCACCCACATGACGATACCCTTGCAGGCGTTGCGCAGGTTACTGCAGGCGACAGTGAACAACATGGCGATGGGGCTGTGCTCGACCCTGTACCGCTCACACATCTCCTTCATCGTCTGGTCAAAGTGCTGCACGTGCAGGGATTCTTTCTCAAACTTGTCGGCCATCACGGTGATATTCTAGGGCAAATTAGTCATGGTTCATTGATTTAGGTTAATTGTGTTTAAGTAGTGTTTATTGTAAAATGTCCACCATCACGATGATATTCTGGGGCAGATTAGTCATGGTTCATTGATTTAGGTTAATTGTGTTTAAATAGTGTTTATTGTAAAATGTCCGCCATCACGGTGATATTCTGGGGCAGATTAGTCATGGTTCATTGATTTAGGTTAATTGTGTTTAAGTAGTGTTTATTGTAAAATGTCCGCCATCACAGTGATATTCTGGGGAAAATTAGTCATGATTCATTAGGTTAATTAATTGTGTTAAAGTAGTGTTTATTGTAAAATGTCCGCCATCACGGTGATATTCTGGGACAAATTAGTCATTGGTCATTAAATTCATTTAGTAAACTAAAAGTTAAGATAGTTTTCCAATAAAATCTCTCTGATATCAAAGTGTTCGAATTTATTTATGGGTAGTTTTATTAATTTTAATATATTAATGATTTAAATGTTTTTTATTAGAGTAAGTCAGCCATGAGAGTGATTTTCTGTATCAAATTAATTTAATGAATAAATGTTCAGCTAGTTTTTCATGCAAGCATGGCCTCTTTCAATGTTAAACTCTGAAATTTAACTTTTAAAAGCGCAGTTTAAAAATAAACCGGGAGTGATCTCCCCTAAACTTTCTCGAATATTCTTATATAAAATAACAGGGGATGGGAACTCGGGCTATAGACATGATTTTTAATCCATTTTAAATACTTAAAGTTTTAAAAATAGAATAAAATCTCGTAGACAAATTAATTGCACACCAAGTGAATGCCAAATAAAAAAGCGCATAATAGTGCGCAATATTATTAGTACTTTTAAAATTTACATTAGTTTTTTGAGAAATCGGAAGTAGCGTAAAGTACTACTTCCAGTCAACGGAAATTACTCAAAATTTAACAGAAGGTAGAGAATTAGATCTTTTACTTACATGTGAAATTTCATTTATCTAACTGAAATAGTACTCAAGTTATAGGCTTTTGAAAAATTCAAAGTAGGAAAAGTACCACTTCCGGTTATCGGAAATCGCTCAAAAGTTGATACGGATCTACGATTTTGATAAAATACTTGTATATGAAATTTCATCAACCTAGCTTTAATGGTACTCAAGTTATCGTGTTTACACGCGGACAGACAGACAGACAGACACACACACACACACACAGACATACGGACAAGATTGCAAAATTATGTTTTTCCGTATCAGTGAGATTTGCAAAAATCTCGATTTTTTTTTTGCACGATTACAAGACTTTCTCTATACTTCGTATATACGAGAAAGTAAAAATCCCCAACATATTATTAGCGTAGTTTTATTTATATTGGCGCCAGAATTGTTTATACCCATGCTTTAAGAAATATTGATTTCAAGCGCGTATTCTGTGAATAAAAGCTTAAAACTACGTACAATAGAAAAGAGTTGTTATACGTCGTATAACCTCTGAAAGTTGCATCCGCACCAAAAGAAATGTATATTGAACGCCGCGACCATAACGACAGAGTCAAGTTTTTATTGTGTAGCATTAAATTAATTTTTTTTAAAAATAACAGTTTAGTTCGTACTCCGGAAAACTTAACCATGGAGGAAGATTTTCTTGCGCCGGGGGGCAAAAGTATTGCGGAATTCGCAACGTAAGTTGGTACATCTTAATACCCTACAGGGTAAATCTAGGCTTAGTTGTAGATTTCTGTGTAGATGTGAAGACAGGTCGGCCATTGATCTAGTGTTACACTGTAAACTAGTAATGCTAGTCAACTGCTAGTTAAACACAACACAATCTTTCCAGGAATCAACACAACAATACGCTGATATGACTACCGCTGTGCTTAAGAACAAACATTATCTAAACACAACGGTAAAACAAAAAGGAAACAAACATTTAAACACAACAGTAACACAAAGAGAAAACAAACATTATCTAAACACGACAGTAACACAAAGAGGAAACAAACATTTAAACACAACTGTAACACAAAGAGAAAACAGACATTATCTAAACACAACAGTAACACAAAGAGTTAAGAGAAAATAAACATCTAAACACAACACTAACACAAAGAGGATATAAACATGTAAACTATCCTTATCCAAATATCCATCAGCTATGTAAACTGTCCCTATCCCAATATCCATCTGCTATGTAAACTGTCCTGTATCCCAATGTCCACCTGCGATGTAAACTGTCCCTATCCCAATGTCTGTCACCTATGTAAACTTCCCTTATCCCAATGTCGGTCAGCTATGTAAACTGTCCTGTATCCCACAGGTATGAGGACTTCCTGTCCTCCCAGGTGACAAAGATGGACTTGGATTACGTGGATGACATCCACATCGCGAGGAAGCTGGTGGAGCTGGGCTACCGTGGTGCCAGAGAGGGCTTCTCAGAGGAGGAGTTCAATGCCATGAAAGCCGCCATAGAAGTCCGCAGGGCCATTTTTAACGTGGTATGGATGTGTTGTTAGCACTAGATTTTTAACGTGGTATGGATGTGTGGGTGGTTCTAGATTTTTAACGTGGTATGAATGGGAGGCTGGTTCTAGATTTTTAACGTGGTATGGATGTGTTGATTGATACTAGATTTTCAACGTGGTATGGATGTGTTGTTGGTACTAGATTTTTAACGTGGTATGGATGTGTTGTTGGTACTAGATTTTTAACGTGGTATGGATGTGTTGTTGGTACTAGATTTTTAACGTGGTATGAATGGGAGACTGGTACTAGATTACTAGTTTGTATGGATCTGTAGCTAAAAATAGATTTTTAAGGTGGTATGGATTTGTGGCTGATATTTTTTCATTTATCACTATTATAAAATATGACTTATGACTTTTAATGTGGTAGGGATCTATTGCTAGACTCACGATACTTGTCTACTTTATTGGATGTCTATTTTTTAAATAATTGTCTTTTTCTGACGGCAGCCTGTCTGATGATTGATATGACTTTCTGAGTATGAAAACTAAGATCTTTATTTCTGATTGTCAAATTTGTTTCTGGGAGACGATATTGTTTTTTTTATTATTATTCTGATGCTGCATATGCTTGTTCTAATGGTTTAAACATCTTTTTCTGATGTCTCATATGCCTATTCTGAAGGTTTAAACCTATTTCTCTCATGTCATATATGTCTGTTCTAAAGGTTGAAACCTGTTTCTCTGATGTGACATATGCCTGTTCTGAAGGTTTAAACCTATTTCTCTCATGTCACATATGCCTGTTCTGAAGGTTTGATCCTGTTTCTCCCCAGAAAACCCTCCTGAGTGCGGGAGTGGAGTATGAGAGCGCCATGCTGAGGGCTATGCAGATGAGAGAGGAGGGCAACAGGACGGGGAAAAGTGCCTCCATATTTTTTATTCGCGACCGCAACGAAAAAGGTAATTGAAAGAAATTGCAAGTGTTTGAATATGAGGAATTTGATCTTAGTTTTTAGGTCTTTACACGAGTGTTTATAACTTCCCCCCCCCCCCCCCAAATAAAAAGCCAAAATAGAAAACAAAATCAAATCTAAATAGAAAAATTATATACTTTAGCCATTATCCGCCCAACCCTTTCATCCCAAAGTTTCAGGTGTTCCATGGAAGATTCAGAGTACCCCTCCCCCATCCAGCCCCCACCTCGAGATAAAGGCCTCAAGAAATGACTGGTTAACACTAAACCATCGTTAAGTTGTATGAGGCAAACATAACCTCGATACCTACTATCTTATATTTAAATTTATGCTAGTCACATGCATGTTTCTTTAGGTCACTGTTTCCATCTACTGAGACCTTTGACCTTTTAAACTTGTGGGTTTGATCCGTGTTAAATGCGAGTGATCCGTGTTAAATGCGAATGATCCTTGTTGAATGTGAGTGATCCGTGTTGAATGAGAGTGCTTCGTGTTGAATACAAATGACCAACGGCTAGCACCCCCCCTTCCCCCGCCCCCCCCCCCCCCCCACCCACCAGGCCAGGAGATCTCTGGCTACATTGACTACTCCCACCGACTGGCCACTGAAGACTTCCGTCCCATCTTCAACCTGGAGAAACGTTTTCTGCCCCAGAAGACTGACCTGAGTTTTTTTAACTGGGACACAATGAACGTCGGCAGTCGGAGCTCGCCTAACTATGAGGTAATGATACAAGTTCTCCTAACTATGAGGTTATGATACAAGCTCTCCTAACTATGAGGTAATGATACAAGTTCTCCTAACTATGAGGTTATGATACAAGTTCTCCTAACTATGAGGTAATGATACAAGTTCTCCTAACTATGAGGTAATGATACAAGCACTCCTAACTATGAGGTAATGATACAAGTTCTCCTAATTATGAGGTAATGATACAAGTTCTCCTAATTATGAGGTAATGATACAAGTTCTCCTAACTATGAGGTAATGATACAAGTTCTCCTAACTGTGAGGTAATGATACAAGAAGTTCTCCTAACTATGAGCTAATGATACAAGTTCTCCTAACTATGAGGTAATGATACAAGTTCTCCTAACTATGAGGTAATGATACAAGTTATCCTAACTATGAGGTAATGATACAAGCACTCCTAACTATGAGGTAATGATACAAGTTCTCCTAACTATGAGGTAATGATACAAGTTCTCCTAACTATGAGGTAATGATACAAGTTCTCCTAACTGTGAGGTAATGATACAAGTTCTCCTAACTATGAGGTAATGATACAAGTTCTCCTAACTATGAGGTTATGATACAAGCTCTCCTAACTATGAGGTAATGATACAAGTTCTCCTAACTATGAGGTTATGATACAAGTTCTCCTAACTATGAGGTAATGATACAAGTTCTCCTAACTATGAGGTAATGATACAAGCTCTCCTAACTGTAAGGTAATGATACAAGTTCTCCTAACTATGAGGTAATGATACAAGTTCTCCTAACTATGAGGTAATGATACAAGTTCTCCTAACTATGAGGTAATGATATAAGCTCTCCTATGAGGTAATGATACAACAAGTTCTCCTAACTATGAGGTAATGATACAAGCTCTCCTAACTGTGAGGTAATGATACAAATTCTCCTAACTATGAGGTAATGATACAAGCTCTCCTAACTATGAGGTAATGATACAAGCTCTCCTAACTATGAGGTAATGATACAAGCTCTCCTAACTATGAGGTAATGATACAAGCTCTCCTAACTATGAGGCAATGATACAAGCTCTCCTAACTATGAGGTAATGATACAAATTCTCCTAACTATGAGGTAATGATACAAGTTCTCCTAACTATGAGGTAATGATACAAGTTATCCTAAATATGAGGTAATTATACTACAAGTTCTCCTAACTATGAGGTAATGATACAAGTTATCCTAAATATGAGGTAATGATACAAGTTCTCCTAACTATGAGGTAATGATACAAGCACTCCTAACTATGAGGTAATGATACAAGTTCTCCTAACTATGAGGTAATGATACAAGTTATCCTAAATATGAGGTAATGATACAAGTTCTCCTAACTATGAGGTAATGATACAAGCTCTCCTAACTATGAGGTAATGATACAAGCTCTCCTAACTATGAGGTAATGATACAAGTTCTCCTAACTATGAGGTAATGATACAAGCTCTCCTAACTATGAGGTAATGATACAAGTTCTCCTAACTATGAGGTAATAATACAAGTTCTCCTAACTATGAGGTAATGATACAAGCTCTCCTAACTATGAGGTAATGATACAAGTTCTCCAAACTATGAGGTAATGATACAAGTTCTCCTAACTATGAGGTAATGATACAAGTTCTCCTAACTATGAGGTAATGATACAAGTTCTCCTAACTATGAGGTAATGATACAAGTTCTCCTAACTATGAGGTAATGATACAAGTTATCCTAACTATGAGGTAATGATACAAGTTCTCCTAACTATGAGGTAATGATACAAGTTCTCCTAACTATGAGGTAATGATACAAGTTCTCCTAACTATGAGGTAATGATACAAGTTCTCCTAACTATGAGGTAATGATACAAGTTCTCCTAACTATGAGGTAATGATATAAGCTCTCCTAACTATGAGGTAATGATACAAGTTCTCCTAACTATGAGGTAATGATACAAGAAGTTCTCCTAACTATGAGGTAATGATACAAGTTCTCCTAACTATGAGGTAATGATACAAGTTCTCCTAACTATGAGGTAATGATACAAGCTCTCCTAACTATGAGGTAATGATACAAGTTCTCCTAACTATGAGGTAATGATACAAGTTCTCCTAACTATGAGGTAATGATACAAGCTCTCCTAACTATGAGGTAATGATACAAGCACTCCTAACTATGAGGTAATGATACAAGAAGTTCTCCAAACTATGAGGTAATGATACAAGTTCTCTACCTATATGGTAATGATACAAGAAGTTCTCCTAACTATGATCTAATGATACTAGAAGCTCCTAACTATGAGGTAATGATACTAGAAGTTCTGCTAACTATGAGGTAATGATATAAGAAGTTCTCCTAACTATAAGGTAATGATACAAGAAGTTCTCCTATGAGGTAATGATATAAGAAGTTCTCCTAACTATGAGGTAATGATACTGGTGTATACTAAAGCTCAAAGTCATTACTTAATTAATTATTGTAATATGGTCATTACTTTCTATAGTTTTCAATTTAATTATTGTGATATGTTCGTGACTTTTCTTCGCTGTTATTTTTAGCGCAATTTCCATACTGACAATTGCGATTATTAATTCGTTATTTCTGGATGGATGGATGGATGGATGGATGGATGTGTGTCCGCAGCTTTAAGTCGTATCTCCTCCTCAACGAAGCAATATCGAGGACTAGTTCCAAAAGCAAATATGTTAAGCAAGTTCCAAGGATGATTGTGTGCCAAAAAAATTCCCGGAATTCCTTCCTGGATTTCCCGGAAAAGCCAAAAAAAACCTCGAACAAATGCAGTTGTTTTTGCTCCATTTCTCGAGAACCAGACCACTTAGCGACTTGAAACATTTACCAATCGATTCCTGCCATAATTTAGAACAATATTGCCGAAGAAAGTTTTCAAAAATATCCTTTCGTTCGGTCACAAAAAATTAATTAAGAACATTTAAACTGAGCATTTTGTAGGCCTACTCGTTAAAATAAAACTATTTCCGTTGATATAGGTTAATATAGTTGTCTTTTTTTTTTTTTACTTATTAATTCAAACGTTATTTTTGTACCCTATTAATTTATTTACAATTTATATGAGAGTGATAGGGAGTTACAATTACAAGGTATTGTTTCGCTAGGCCTAATCATTTTTTCACATTTTAAAAAAAAATCAATTAAGGAAATTGCGCTTAAATTGTCACAAGACTTTTTATTAATTTAAACTGAGCATCTTGTAGGCCTACTCGTTAAAATAAAACTATTTCCGTTGATATAGGTTAATATAGTTGTCTTTTTTTTTTACTTATTAATTCAAACGTTATTTTTGTACCCTATTAATTTATTTATAATTTAAAAAATTAATTAAGGAAATTGCGCTTAAATTGTCACTAGACTTTTTATTAACTTGTTTCATTAAGAGAGATACTAATTTTACAAAGTAAAAAAAAAACGAACATTTGGTTTAACATGTATCAAAACTTTTGGATCATTACTTAGATGTACAAACGCGTTTGGCTTTAACCCCCAGTGTCGATACCATCCACAGGTAATCGCCAAAAGCCCCAACGGGATGGTATTCCGCAACAAACGTGATGGTAAAATCGTCAACCCTGACCCGACCCTCAACACCCCCGGGGACAACTCGTCCCGTACCATAGTGCGGGCCTCCGACTACATCAGCGTGGTGGTGTTCGACCATTACAACCGGCGGAAGTTGTAATCTTGTCGTCATCAACCCTTGATGCACAGAGGGTGACGAGGCGCATGCGCGAGACAGCAACATATGACGACATCTTTGAATTGATCTTTTTACATGCACAAACAGTGTTTTAATATTTCTTTTTACTTTTTTTTTTACATTTGACGCATATTTTACCTAAACTTAACTTACTAAAATAAAAATTATATTTTTTTTCAAACTCAATGGTTTCAAATTTCTTATCTTGAGATTCAAATTTGTGTTGAACTTGTCATACTAACCTCTAAATTATTCCTGATAGCAGGCCACGCCTACTCACCTCTAAGTTACTCCTGATAGCAGCATAGTTTCTTCCAGTCATCTCTTCGGCACCGCCCCATATATGCTTTTGACATTGTCCGCCCCCCCCCCCCCCCCCCCCCGAAAATTTCAAGTGCAACCCCGAAGAAAAAAGTCTGGAAGAAACTCTGGATAGCAGGCCACGCCTACTCACCTCTAAGTTACTCCTGATAGCGTGCTCCAGGTCACGCCTCTGCTTCTCGTAGTTGGTCGCCGTCTCGAGGTACGCCTCGCCCTCCTGCTGACTAAAGCTCAGACAATATTTCTTCATGTACTCCAGCAGTTTCGTCAAGCTATAAATAGATTCGGAAAAACCCTCGCGAACTGTCTTTATTGTTTTGTTAACTAACGTTTGAATCTGAAAAAAACAAGTTTAAAAAAATGTATTATTCTTTTTAGAATTAATGAATCATTAATTATTAGTAATTATTTTAAGATTTTTTTAATTTATCATAATACAAGCTTGTTATTGTTGATGTTAATTAGTCTGCCAACTGCGTAAATGTGAGAGTGGTTTCTTTCTAATCTTCAAAACACATCTCATCTTCTTACGGTGATCAGAGATTCCTCGTCTACCGTCAATATGTCGGTGCTGTCCGAGTGTCGTTCACTTATGTCCGTCAACTGCTGCAAGCTGACCAGTCCTGAGAGCCTCGCTGGACGCAGGATCTGGGGAAACAACAACCATATCAGAAGGATGTGCTTACCATACAAACACAATTATGACGGTAACATCCACCCCCGTACCTGCACCATACATACAGATACACCCGCCTGAACAAACAAGACACCTACACCACTAAGACAGAGACACCTCCACCAAGACAGAGACACCTTTCACCGTATCTACCCCAACAAAACAGAGATACCCACCTACCCTACCAAGACACACACACCTACCCCACCAAGATAAAAACACCTTCCACCCCACCTGCACTACCAAGACAGAAACAGCTACCTAGACAGCCAAGACAGAGACACCTACCTACCCCATCAAGAAAGACACCCCCTCTACCCTACCAACAGAGACACCTACCATCACACCTCCCCCATCAAAACTGAAACCCACCTCCCCCACCAACACAGGTACCCACCTCCCCTGCCTGCCCCCCCCCCCCCCCCCCCCCGCAGAACAGAGACACGTACCAGCTGTAGCGGGACGTGCCACTGTTTAGCCTGAGACTCAGCCGTTCCCTCAGGACCGTAGTACGACACCTCCAGGTTGAGCAGCCTCCCCTGGACGGCCGCCACCACCTCCCTGGCGATGTTATACACCGACTGAAGGCTCTGGGGCCGCTCGGAGCCCAGGGCTGAAAACGTTTGCCGCTTGCGATAGAAGTTGAGGCTGGTTCCTGGTGCCATTGAATCCATGTAAGAATTTTATTTTACGTGTAGTCCATAGTACTTTTATTTTAGTCCTAACTTACAAAATATTACTTTAAGTCACGGTTGATAGACGAGTCAAATCTGGAAGAAATAAACACAGTGAATACAATAATAATAATAGTAATAAAGTTTACATGCACTGCTATTACTTATGACTTAAATAACATCATATTTTGTAATGGTTTTATTATCTTGATATACAACGTTACAAATCTCCTCCTTTACAATGAAAGACACTACGTACTTTCCTATACGTGTTGCCAGATAAGTTGGCTATGAAAACGCCAAACAATTATAGTAAACAAACCACCTGCTTTGTATTTTTTAATTATGTATAAAACTATAAAATATACACTTTGTAACCTAACTATAAACTCACACTTTTTGCATAAAATGAGCGAAATATTTAACTTATAGTTACACACGCCTATCCTAAAAGTAATATTTCCAAAAGTATCAAACTTCTATTTTAACTTTATGTAAGATTGATACGCCATAACACATACTAGAAACGCTCTGTTTATTTACCAATTAATCAACACGGCTGCGTTCAAAATTCCTGCACCCTATCAACCAGCTTTTCAGACGTATTTTTTATTTATAAGTATAAACTTGGCAACTAGTCTCGTATAATGAGAAGCAATATCGATTCTTCCTTTATGCCTGGACCAAACCGATGCCGTAGTTACAGTATCGACTACTAGCCCCGCCCTTTCAAACATTGTTCAATGAAACAAAACCTTAACTAAAGCTATTTCTTCTTTACCAACAGACCGTGTTTATGAATTATTTATTGGTTACTGAATAGAAATTTTAAGTCCGATAGATCGATGTGCGTCATAAAAGAAAAGGTTTACGTAGACAAAAAAAACTAATTAAAACCTTTGGATAAGTCCGCGTTTTACGCCTCCCCGCCATTGTGTGGATTTAATTACAATCTAATCGGAGGACAAAACCTCTGGGGTAGCTCTTATTTCACCGACAGGGTGCGGTAGTGGGGTGGGGGTGGGGGGTCGTTATCAACTGGTTTAACCTATAAGAAACGTTTTGTTTGTAGTTATTAAAACAGTCGCTTGGAGTAGTTACCCTAATCCTAACTCTGGCTTAAACCATAACCTTAACCTGCCACCCCTGAACCTAACCCTAACTCTATAATGTTGGCTATAACTGTGATACTCGCAAAAAAAAATGGTATTTAAAATAAGGACATCTTCCATTTTAAAATCGAATTTTTTTTTAAATATTGCAAACTGAAATTAGAATTTAGTGGGCTTGACAGTTGATGCAGAGGCGTAGCGAGGGGGGGGGGCGGGGTGGACGGACATATGTCCCCGGGCGCCGACCTTAGGGGGGCGCCAAATTGAAAGTTTGAGGGGGGGTGCAAATGAAAAGTTCGAGGGGGGGGTGCAAATCGAAAATTTGCTCCCGAGGGGGGCGCCAAATTGAAAGTATGTCCCCGGGCGCCGGGAAGGGTCGCTACGCCTCTGAGTTGATTAAAAGCCTGAATAAGATTGTAATATTTTTTTAAAAAATAGGGTTGCCTATTCTTACATTTTTTTTTCTTTTAGTCTTCCTATAAACCTAAAAGACTTTACACATTTCAAAGCAGATATTTGTGTCATAGATTGTAATAATAATAGAGGTGAAGGTGTCGGCCTATAATGTGTGTAAATAAATAAAAATAAATAAAGATCAATAGGACGTGTGCAATGTTTTAAAGTGTAAAACTTTAAACAACGCTACGCTGAAAGCAAACTAATAAATAGGTGCGGCCAATGAAACAGAAATATATCAACACACAATGAATGCATAATTGATACATATCTCACCACAACGCTTTTGTCTGCTTGCTGCGCTAAGGCAAAACCCCGATAAATGTTTTATTATGTATATAAGAGACAAGTGTAGTAGAAAGTTCAGCTTGGGAAGGGGGGGGGGGGGACTTGTGTGGTTGAAAGCACTTGTGAAAGGAGTAGGGCTTATATTGCAGAAAGTTCAGTATGGGGAAGGGGAGATTGTGTAGCAGAAAGTATTTGGGGGGAGGGGCTTGTAGTGTAGAAAGTACTGTTGGGTGGGGGGAGGGGCTTGTAGTGTAGAAAGTACTGTTGGGTGGGGGGGAGGAGCTTGTAGTGTAGAAAGTACTGTTGGGGAAGAGGGGCTTGTAGTGTAGAAAGTACTGTTGGGTGGGGGGAGGGGCTTGTAGTGTAGAAAGTACTATTGGGGGAGGAGCTTGTAGTGTAGAAAGTACTGTTGGGGGAGGAGCTTGTAGTGTAGAAAGAACTATTGGGGGAGGAGCTTGTAGTGTAGAAAGTACTGTTGGGGGAGGAGCTTGTAGTGTAGAAAGTACTGTTGGGTGGGGGGAGGGGCTTGTAGTGTAGAAAGTACTGTTGGGTGGGGGGAGGGGCTTGTAGTGTAGAAAGTACTGTTGGGTGGGGGGAGGAGCTTGTAGTGTAGAAAGTACTGTTGGGTGGGGGGAGGGGCTTGTAGTGTAGAAAGTACTGTTGGGTGGGGGGAGGGGCTTGTAGAGTAGAAAGTACTGTTGGGTGGGGGGAGGAGCTTGTAGTGTAGAAAGTACTGTTGGGTGGGGGGAGGGGCTTGTAGTGTAGAAAGTACTGTTGGGTGGGGGGGAGGAGCTTGTAGTGTAGAAAGTACTGTTGGGGAAGAGGGGCTTGTAGTGTAGAAAGTACTATTGGGGAAGAGGGGCTTGTAGTGTAGAAAGTACTGTTGGGTGGGGGGAGGAGCTTGTAGTGTAAAAAGTACTGTTGGGTGGGGGGGAGGAGCTTGTAGTGTAGAAAGTACTGTTGGGGAAGAGGGGCTTGTAGTGTAGAAAGTACTGTTGGGTGGGGGGAGGAGCTTGTAGTGTAAAAAGTACTGTTGGGTGGGGGGGAGGAGCTTGTAGTGTAGAAAGTACTGTTGGGGAAGAGGGGCTTGTAGTGTAGAAAGTACTATTGGGGGAGGAGCTTGTAGTGTAGAAAGTACTGTTGGGGAAGAGGGGCTTGTAGTGTAGAAAGTACTATTGGGGGAAGAGCTTGTAGTGTAGAAAGTACTGTTGGGTGGGGGGAGGGGCTTGTAGTGTAGAAAGTACTGTTGGGGGAGGAGCTTGTAGTGTAGAAAGTACTGTTGGGTGGGGGGAGGGGCTTGTAGTGTAGAAAGTACTGTTGGGTGGGGGGAGGGGCTTGTAGTGTAGAAAGTACTGTTGGGAAACAGGAGCTTGTAGTGTAGAAAGTACTATTGGGGGAAGAGCTTGTAGTGTAGAAAGTACTGTTGGGTGGGGGGAGGGGCTTGTAGTGTAGAAAGTACTGTTGGGGGAGGAGCTTGTAGTGTAGAAAGTACTGTTGGGTGGGGGGAGGGGCTTGTAGTGTAGAAAGTACTGTTGGGTGGGGGGAGGGGCTTGTAGTGTAGAAAGTACTGTTGGGTGGGGGGAGGGGCTTGTAGTGTAGAAAGTACTGTTGGGTGGGGGGAGGAGCTTGTAGTGTAGAAAGTACTGTTGGGTGGGGGGAGGGGCTTGTAGTGTAGAAAGTACTGTTGGGTGGGGGGAGGGGCTTGTAGTGTAGAAAGTACTGTTGGGTGGGGGGAGGGGCTTGTAGTGTAGAAAGTACTGTTGGGTGGGGGGAGGAGCTTGTAGTGTAGAAAGTACTGTTGGGTGGGGGGAGGGGCTTGTAGTGTAGAAAGTACTGTTGGGTGGGGGGGAGGGGCTTGTAGTGTAGAAAGTACTGTTGGGGGGGGGGAGCTTGTAGTGTAGAAAGTACTGTTGGGTGGGGGGGAGGGGCTTGTAGTGTAGAAAGTACTGTTGGGTGGGGGGAGGGGCTTGTAGTGTAGAAAGTACTATTGGGGAAAGAGCTTGTAGTGTAGAAAGTACTGTTGGGGGAGGAGCTTGTAGTGTAGAAAGTACTGTTGGGTGGGGGGGGAGGGGCTTGTAGTGTAGAAAGTACTGTTGGGTGGGGGGGGGGGGGAGGGGCTTGTAGTGTAGAAAGTACTGTTGGGTGGGGGGAGGGGCTTGTAGTGTAGAAAGTACTGTTTGGGGAGAGGGGCTTGTAGTGTAGAAAGTACTGTTGGGTGGGGGAGAGGGGCTTGTAGTGTAGAAAGTACTGTTGGGTGGGGGAGGGGCTTGTAGTGTAGAAAGTACTATTGGGGGGAGGGGCTTGTAGTGTAGAAAGTACTGTTGGGGGGAGGGGCTTGTAGTGTAGAAAGTACTGTTGGGGGGAGGGGCTTGTAGTGTAGAAAGTACTATTGGGGGGGGGGGGGGAGCTTGTAGTGTAGAAAGTACTGTTGGGTGGGGGAGGGGCTTGTAGTGTAGCAAGTACTGTTGGGGAAGAGGGGCTTGTAGTTTAGAAAGTACTGTTGGGGGGAGGGGCTTGTAGTGTAGAAAGTACTGTTGGGTGGGGGAGAGGGGCTTGTCTAGTAGCAGTAAGGCTTAAGAGTAGTCAAATTGTTTTTATTTTATATATTTGATCATTTTGGGGTTTTAAACCCCATTTTGTATGGCGTTATATACGATTTAAAACAAAAGCGTGGAAAAATATAGGCTGATATTATCAGACTATCTGGCTACTAATACACAAAACATGGGACAGCGTGACCTCGCAGCAGAGAGGCAGACTGCTAACCCGAGAGTCTCGAATCATTGCAACCTCCACCCACCTCTGATGGGTATCTAACTTTCGTTAGGGAAACAAAGGCAGCTGGGCATAACGCTGACCACACTTTCCCTTCATATGCCGAGGTCAATGAAACAGATGAACTCTACTTCATCTGCCCCTTGTGTCTTGGGCACGAACGGGATTAAGAAGAACATACACAAAATGTTATCAGACTTTCTGGCAACCAATATAAAACAAATGTTATCAGACTTTCTGGCCACCAATATAAAACAAATGTTATCATACTTTCTGGCCACCAATATAAAACAAATGTTATCATACTTTCTGGCCACCAATATAAAACAAATGTTATCATACTTTCTGGCCACCAATATAAAACAAATGTTATCATACTTTCTGGCCACCAATATAAAACAAATGTTATCAGACTTTCTGGCCACCAATATAAAACAAATGTTATCATACTTTCTTGA